TCAACATCAGTGTAGGGACAAGTGGCTTTCTGCCAAAAAAACAGAACTGCATTTTCATTATTTATGGTTATTTAAGACCTTTACTAACAGGTACTTACTATTTTTTCCTTTTTGGAGGGTATTGTAAACTTTTGTTACAAATTAAGTTCTTAAAAATCTAAACTTGACCAGACAGGACTACAATGAGATGCTAGAGATCTTGACCATGAGGTTTTATAGTCCAGTAAAACTCAATGGAAGAGAGAAATCACATCGCACTTATATTAGTGATACCCCCAGCTTGTAGAGTGATTTCTGGGGCTCTGTAAGGAGATTACTATTCCCAGTGCTATTGGCACAAGTAATTGGTGCATAACAAATTATCACAAAGTTCAGAGGCTGAAAATGTCATTCATTTGCTGTTTTCCATGAGTGTAAGCAACAGGTGGTTCTGGGAAAGTCTTGGCTGGCCTCAGACAAATCCTCATGGATCAGCTAGTGTGCTAGTCAGATGAATGAAATACCTCACCTCTCCACACGTGTCCCACAGATTCAGGAAGGCCGCTCTTCACACAGCAGTAACAGAGATCCAAGGGGAAGGAACAAAAATGTACCTGTGCTTATATCACGTTTGCTGCTACCCCATTGGTCATAGAAAATCACATGATCAAGCTGGGAAACAGGACGGAAAGGCATGAAAACATGGAGATATTAAAATGCAATCCATCTATTATATAAGCATGGCCTAATGCTATGTGTTCAATAGCCCAGTACTATCCAGAACAAGTTGAAAGTGGAGAGGGTAAGAGGGAACTTCTAATAATTATATGATCAATGAATAAACTAGAGTTTAATGCTGAAGATATGGGCAATATAAACATTTCCATGTGACTAGATAAGTTAGTAGATGTAAACTTATGAGTATCATAACCTGTAGAGCTTAATATTCTGTGTTATGAGCATCACACTTTAACAAAAATATTATATTGCATTTTCCAAACCAGAAGCAAAATGTTGAAATGTAAAACATTGTAAACCTTGAGAACATTAACTTCATGGCTTGTAAAAGGTAAACAGCCTTTTGATGCATTAGTTTAATATTTGCTCATTGACATTCTATCTTGAAGTTCATGAATGATCAGCGGTCTACTTCTCCTTTCTCCCGTTTTGATTTTGGTACATTCCAAATGATCTAAAGCTTTTGGGCCATATGATGATTGATTACAGTGTTAAATTGGCTTCTCATGGTAAAATTTTTCAAATTTTCTTGGTTAAAACTAAAAAAAAAAAAGAAGAAGCAGGTCAGAGACTCTTCCTTATCTGCAGTTTCTAAGAAAGTAACTCAAACAGAGGTGAGAAGTAGAAGAGGCATTATATCATTTAAATACATACAGATATACTATTTTTTTGAGAGGTCAAATTTTGGAATCTTTATTTTAGCACTAGCAGACTGCAAATGGCCAATTACAAAGATCTGCAGCCAGACATTTTATTTTTTTAATGTTAAACAGTGATGTTGCTATTTTATAGCATTTAATGGCTCACTCCTCAAATATTTTTCTTCCCTTATTCTAACATATGGAACAGAACTTTTTTTCATGAATTATCATTAAATAAGATGACTCATAAAGATCTATCAAGAGGGAACATCTTAGATTAATTGTCAGGTTAAAGATGTAATGATTAAAGTGTGTATTTGGGATCCTATTCAATGGTGAGTGAGAGATGAAGAAAAGTTGAGAGATAGTGTGATCTCTGCCGCACTCATCAGTGATGATGGGAAGCTATTTAGAGTGTGCAATGAGGCGTCCCTAAACCATCATCACAGATCAAATCATATGGGTTTTCTTCTCTCAATCTCTAGAGTCACTCTTAATGTTGATGGGTCCACCTGCTCAGTCACTGAGGGCCTTTTGTGATCATTGAGACGGATGCTAAGAGAATTGAGAAAAATTGAGAAGACCCAATGTAAAATTCTTATTTCAGATTTTCATTCAAGTTTTCTTTCCAGCCCAAGAGACCACACAGTCATACGCCCTAAAATATACTCACAGCAAAGAATTTAAACACTTATTTAATAGTCATTGACTATTTACTCTTACAAAGCAATTGAACAAAGCTTGAAGAATTAATCTGGAATGAAAGAAACATCTTTCATTTAAATGTTACACTTTAAAAGTGTAAATTACATTAAGAAAAATGATTCTGCCAGGTGTAGGTGGCTCATGCCTGGAACTACTTAAGAGCCTGCGATCTGAGAATTGCAGCTCAAAGCCAGCCTAGGCAGAAAAGTCCACGAGACTCCTATCTCTAATAAACTATGAAAGAGCCAGAAGTGGAGCTGTAGCTCAAATGGTAGAGTACCTTGAGTTGAAAAAGCTAAGGGACAGTGCCCAAGCCTGGAACTGGTACCAAAAACTAAAAATTAAAAATAAATTAAACAAGCACTGTTTGGGAGAAAAGGGAGCTTTGTGAAGGTAGTATCTTTGGAGGCTGCTTCTTCAGGTTTAAAGGACATCTTAGGTAAAGTTGCTAGAAAACGTGCATGCTGTGTGTTCGTGAACAAAGAATACTGATAAATTCAAGTTGGCTAGGAGAGTAGGTAGGCTGGGGCTAGAAGTGGATGCTGTTATCAGTCATTTTAACACTATTCTACAGATAACAGTGACTGTATTACCTACCAACAGAATGCAATATAATTAGAAGCTGCCACTTAAGGAAAGTTATCTGTGTGTGGAAGGCAACAAAACAAACAGGAAGGTTAGTCTTGGGTGTTATAGAATGAGGGAAATTGCAAAGAAGGAAGTTTCCCAAACAGTGAGAGTACAATTTATAGGATTTTTCAACAGATTGGCTATGGAAGTAAATGAGATAGAGCAGAACAACATTGCCCCAAGGTTTAGCACTGATTATGGACTATTAATAAACAGGGAGAGCAGATGGAAAAAGGGTATCTATTTTTTACATTACATTCAATGCACATATTGTTTGTTTACCTCTTGATAATCTGAAAGGAAGACCCCAGAGCTTTGGGAGGTAAGAGCAAAGTCGTTTACAGCTCTGAGAATTATTTGCGGAGAATAAATTGAAGGCATGTGATTGGAGGACATACCTAAGTGAAAACTTGAAAGATTTATGAATATGAAATATAGCTGCTTTCCCTTCTTGAATTGATTCCCAAAAAGCTCATTAACTCTGAAAAACAGCTGCAGAATCGATCCCTAATTTTGGTTTTTTGATAAAGAATTCTCTTGTGCCCTTTCAAATTTTTCCGCTTTAAGGCTTGGGGATTGATGAGTTTGTATAGTATTATTGAAATCTACCTATTTCATGGATTTCCAGGGGTTCCTATCTTTCACGTTTTGTCTTCTCTGAAATTGAGATGGGTCTTAACAGTGGCAGAACATTTGTTCAACATGTGTGAGGCCCTGGATTCTGTCCTTAGCTCTATTAAATAAAGAAATAAGTCCATAAAAGGAGGTTGAAAATTCTACCAATAGTTTAAATGGCAGCATATTTTCATTTTGTGAAATACACAAAACAATGGCATCTCAACTTGGGGCAATTTGGTACTTTCTAATGTTTCTCTGACTTGGCAAGCTTTTCTTTTCCATGAAGCCTTTTGTCTCACCAAAGAAGGAAGATGTATCTGCTTAGGGAAAAAGAAGTCTAATATTGTGTAGTTATTCTGGTTAGTCAGGAGGGAATAGTTCAATGTCCTCTCTAGTCTGATAGAAAGGGTCTAATAAGAATTGAGACTCAATATCCTGCCTCTTAAATTAGAACAAAAAGGCCTGGGTGTGGAAGAAGCAAGATAGTATAGAAATCAAGACTGTCTTGGGCCTCGGTATATGCCCAGAATATTGCTTGTTGGGGCAGAGCTTTAGAAAATGTCAAGCCTTTTGGAGATCAACACACTATAATGAGTCATATGAAACTGTAGCTGACAAACAGTCAAAGGAGGTGTTTTGATGCATGAGTCTCAGCTGGCATGTCTGGTTTCCATCAGTCCCCAAAGATCCAAGAGTTCTGTAAATCCCAAGAATACAACCAGGATAAACTATGTAGCAACCTTGATTTCTTTGCAGGACTATCATGGTGGTGTTGTAACTGCTCCAACAGCACAGAGACCTCATTCAACACCCAACTACCAGGAGAAAGATCTTCCCTTTAGAACCAGTTGCCATCAGGTGGAAGAGGCAGAGAGAATTCCTGAATGAGGAGGACTTCTAAAGGAGCATTTGACACTAAAGTGATTTAATATGCCCCTGGAATGAAGTTTTTAGTTTCTTTGTTTTACACTGGAAGACACTTAATAACTTTAATGTGCAGGATATTTCTTTCTAGAAAGAATGAAGGGATAAAGAGCAGTATAAACTTATAATACCAAGTAAAGTACATATTTTTATTGTAGATTTCTGCTGTATGTATTAATCCTACCAACCTGGATCGTTTGGAGCAAAATAACTCTAATACTCTGAGTTCAGGATATAATACTAGAAAACGTATTTATGGTGTCATAGGAGGATGAGAATCCAGAGAAGAAATGATTAACAGGAAAGCTTGTAGTATCTTTCAGAAGCAGACAAAAGGGCAAATTCAGTTACAAGTTACAGGATGGTGAACTTTCCCGATGTTTTTTCTTGGAAGAGGCTGTGTGATTTGATAAAGAAAATCTTGGAAAATGGTCAACCCCAAAGTGGCTACATTTTACTAATTATAATGTTTCCATGAGGTGAAAGTGTATAATAAAATGTAATATGGTTCTATTCTTTTACAGATCAGAAAACTAGGAGCTAGAGAAATTCTTGTAGAAATCAATCCAAGCTTACAAATATGAGAAGAAGAAAACTGAGTTCATCATAATTGAAAGTTAAGTAGAACTTACACATTTTGTGTCATTTGAGGTTAAGAGAAAGTAGGGAATATGAAATAAGTCCCCTTTTCAAACTAATGTACAGAGCATTTATGGAAATAAGGCAAAAAGGAAAATACCTTAGAAGCAAATACGCTGACAAATGTTAAATGTATTTTCATTTTTTTTATTAGAGAAGTTGGAAGTTGAATTTCAGTATTGATGGTATTATCATTTTCTCTGCTCACTTCAGAGGAACACATAGAATCAATTTGTACGAGCCTACACCACCTTTCAGTTGGTGTTTTGTGTCCTAAAATCAGTAATCTGATTAGTTCTAGGCTACCAGGTCTCCATGCACTCCTTTCTGACTTTGGCTGCATGGCTCACTCCCCAGTGTTGGACTTCTTCATGCACTGCCTGCGACACAACTACAGAAGGCGCAAGGACCATGCAGATGAACACTGTAGCAAATTGTTTGGCTATTTAACAGACATAAAAAGGTTATTTCTTGATATGAAATTCTGAAAATCTGCATAAATATTTTGTGTAAAATTAAATTAGTTTATGTATTTATTTTTCAAACTAGAACTTGAAGTATCAAGAATGCCCACATAATTCATATACACATATATATATATAGAGAGAGAGAAAGACTTTTTCATTATGCTAAAAGTCTTGATCATCAAATTATAGTCTGTGCCATACATTTAATCAGTATTGATTTGTCATTAGGTTAACTACTCTGAACCAATTAATCTTTAAATGGTGCTGTGTATCATGCAAATGTAACTCTAGTAGTCCTGTTTACTAATCTTGTCAAGTGACAATACTTAGATGATTGTTGCTCTATAACAGTGTGAATTAAGAAGTATAAATACTTTATACATGGTCACATTTACAAACGTTTGCCAATAACCACTCCATGATCTGTACAGTGCAATAGTGAATTGTAAAATCTGGACTCTGCAGAAGCAATTCCTATAAAGCAGTGTCAGATGAAAGCCTTCTCTTAAATGAACCTAACAGAACTCCCCCATTTTGAGCACTGATGAGTTTTGGCACAGATACACTTTTCTGTTATTTTTTTCTATTGTTCTAGTCATTTCCACAACTCTTACAGGAAATTAGCTTCATATGGCATGGTAGAAACATGGCACTTACTGATGAGGTAACTCAGATATAGAAAAATTCTGCAAAATCATTTCTCTAGTAGACCACTGCTTCTGCTGACGAATCTGTGGACAGAGTTTTTATTTTATCTCCTAGTGCATGCGCTTGCTATTTAATTGTTAATGCACTATTTTTGCTGCAGCTCAAACATGTTCTAATGTATCACAAAGCAGAGTTGTAAACACCAAGCTCATTTACTTGTGATGGTATCTTATAGCAAAACATGTTTAAGTTGTATTACCAATGGTTAAACTCTGCCTGACTGGAAAAGGAGATTTTTGTGGATTCATAGCTACTTTTGGTTGGCCAAGGATATTCAATATTTGAACTGTTAAATAGGAGAATATATATCATCTGAAGTCTCTGCAGTTTCAGGTAATTTCTTGTCTACACATAAAAAGAAACAGCAAGAAAACTGCTATTTTCCTTGGAATTTGTATTTGGAAGTTGGGAGTGATCTTCTGATGGTTTCTGGTTTTGCTGTTTCAATTCGAACTTTGGAGTTTCACACTACTGTTGCTGGTCTGCGGTCCATCTCGGCTTCCAATTTCACCATCTGCTGCATCTCCTTCGCCTGTAATATCAGAAACATGGCATTACATGTGGAAATCCTCTTCTATAGCACCTCACAACCCTGGACTGTATTCTCCCCTAAGTCTTATGCTGTCACTGTATTCTTGCATTTCGAAATGTGGTCCATGGCCACCAACATCTGCATTGCCTAGAACCTTGTCAGGAATGCAAAATCTTGGCTTACACATGGCCCACTGAAAACAAATATCCATCTCAACAAGACCCAGCAGGAAATTTTTATGTATATTCATCTTTGAGGATGATTGATTGGTCGCCACAGTTTTAGAAAAACTACTTGAAAAGACATTGAGTCAAGCATTTGGTATTTAGACTAAGCCAAGATCAAACTGATTTGGTTTTCACAGTTTGATACATTGCTTTGTATGTAGATAACTCTAAAATCAGTTCTAGAGTAAGTGTTGCTTATGTATGACTTGCCTGAAATTTCATGAAAAGTAATTTCCCAAGAATCTAATTGATAGAGAAAGTTAATTATGAATATATAGTACATTGATTTGATTCTAGTGGCTTATATTTAGAGCATTATAGAAATAGGATTTTAGAAATTTTATTGCTTGAACTCTGTCCTGAAAGCTCTTACTTCTCTGGGATAATTTTTTTAATGGATGACTAGCAAGTAAGCTATGTTGAATCCAATCTCATGAATTAAGACTGTCCCTGAGAGTGGTAGAAAGGAATCAGATAAAGGTAAGGTCTGGTGATAAATAATTGCTTGGCAATACAGGGAAAATAAAACAGTTCATTTCAACTTCTACTTTCCAACTGATGGTCTACATGCCTTAGCCAAAACCATATGCATGTACCTTGAAGGAGTGAGAAAATGTCCCGTTCCTTGTTTAGAGAATACTACTTTTGAAATAAAGGATATGTAAGAATGGAAACATGGAAGTATAAAGGTATCAATCAGAGGAAGACCCTGAAGTGTTCTGATGTGTCTACTAATGGAAGGTCAGAGGAAGGGGTTAGTTCATTCAAAATCATACTAGAAGCACTTAAATCTCCCAAATGAAGTCCTGTGACTGTCAGGCCATTCAGTGGTTTTCTTCTTATTATTCTTATATTGTGTTTTTCAATTTCAATTTGGTGAGGACAGATATAAAGAACATGCATCTATCTGCATAAGGTTAGAACAAATGGTTCCCTCCAGCCAGATAACTTTATGCCTGATATATAGTCATCTTCTACTAGAACAATGAAGAAATGGAGAAAAATATACAAACATGACACTATGACACAAACAGTATTCATAAGAGATGACAGTGAAACATTATCAGCACTGCAAATTAAATAACTTGATGGTCAATAGTCATAAAAAATTTTTCTATGTGTCTCCTCTTTAGCATTTAAAGACAATAGGGAATACAGTTTAGAAGGAAGAATCATGTGACATTGAAAGATTATTCCAAGAGCTAAGTTCTTGCCCAGCAAGGCGACCATTCATTTCCATTTGCAATTCTAGTATATACCTGGCTATTACAAACAGTCCTCTCTTTCTCAAACAAGTTTTTGCTCCTGATCCAAATAATAAATTACATGGTCACCTTTATGAAAGGTGATAGGAGTCCTTGGCAGACTGGACTTAGTAGAGAGCAGGACAAAAGATTGCATAACATCTGCAAACAAACCATTACTCTCTGTCATGGAAAACCATCAACAAACTTGCAGTGGTGTTCATTAAAAAAATTAACATATAAATTAGTCATATCAGCATTTATAAATGACCTGACTCTGTGACCCCACTTTAGTTGTAGTGGTTCTATACGACATGTATATACCACTGTTCTTAATGTCTGGGTTTGTCTTTACTACCATGTTTCCAGATCTGCAATTGGAAATGTTGGCTAACATGCCATCTAAAATGATTTTTTTTAAGATTTGGGGCTTTTCAGATTAAATATTAAATAGTTTCAGATTTCTAAGCATGAAATAGCCAAGCTGTTAAGTTCAAACCCTTGTGATATTAGTTATGACCAGATGTGAATCATAAATAAGACTGAACCCAGAATACTGATGTAGCTGAGAAGGAAAGCAATGTCTGCTTATCAGAATTTTGGTCCTACCTTGCGTTTGGGACACTGCATGACAGGATTTCAAAAGCTGTTTGTACAAAAATAGTAATGTCAAAATTGAGTCATACATACAAAACAAAGAAAATAAATGAGTACTGAAGTGAATTTGAGAAATGAATGCAAAACCATATATAGAAAAGCAAAAGGCTAAGAGTAAAACATGTACACACCCATCAGTGACAAACTTTCCCCAAGTCGATCTCAACAAAAAAATTAAAAAAAATTCTCTGCTCATCTGCCAGATGAGCAGAAAATTGAACCTTTACCTAGATCCCTTACTTCATTTAAGTTTTTCAATTTACATTTTATTGTTTTTGTGTTAATAGTGGGGCTTAAACTCAGGGCCTTGCACTCTCATTTGGCTTGGCTACTCAAGGCTGGTACTCTACCAATTGAGCCACAACTCCATTTCCAGGTATTTTTTGCTGGTTAATTGGAGATAAGTGTCTCACAGACTTTTCTGCTCAGGTTGGCTTCAAATCATGATCCTCTCAGATCTCTTGAGTAGTTATGATTATAGGCATGAGCCAGTGGTACTCAGCTCTTCACTTTATTAGGACAGATGACAAAAATTAATTTTTAAGACTTAATGGTGACAATAATGGAATTGTTAATGTTTGAAATGGTACATGTGAAGATGAAGAAATATTATGTGTTAGGGAAGTCTATGAGAAATTAGAACAGAAAAGAACAAATCACCAACATTTGGAATTTTAAGTGAATGACTGACCAAATAGGCTAGTCTATTAAGTGTCTTACAAACGACACATGTGGCCTGGATCCAGAATCAGGATAAAAATATATAACCTCCTGAGTTATTTCTTGACATAGTTCTAGTTAGTTAAGTACAGCCATTCATGTTTTACTTTGAAGATGATAAGAACCATATATAACAGTAGAAAAATATAGTAAAATGGGAACAAACTATGAAAGGCAATGTGAGAGGGGCTTTTTAAGAAGTCTTGAGGCTTAACAATGGTTTTAGAGACTGTTCTGGAAATCTGGAATTATATGGAAATTAAACTTTTAAGCTAGAGAAATATCTAAGGAGTTCTATTATATGGTTCTAGACCTTGAGTTTTAAAAGGGAAGAAACAGAGAGATGGTATCCCGTGTACTGCATCTACGAAAGTTGTGGCATACAGAATAATTGTGAATCCAGTGCTTCTGACCTTCACATTAAAACAAAAATATACACAAGAAAATTCTGGGACTCAATTAGTTATGGAACACATGGTCTTTACAGAGTAAAGCCTAATGCAGAAATTTTATATTTGTCAGAAGGGTCAATGTGATATCTTGATTTCTTTCCTCCCTTGAATGTCACTAAATCTTCAAGTCTCAAGTGTTTGAATGTTCTGTGTGTTCCCAAGCTTTTGTAACTCAAAGTATCAGTTGTGGGTGATAGACATTACTTATGACATATTCAACAGCAATGTATATTTTCAGAACAAAGGCCAGCCCAATTGGCTCCAATCAATACAACTATCAGTAATCTGCAAGAACTCTCATGTGGTTTGAATTACTCATGTATTCATATAAAAGCTCAAGGTGATTTCTTTATGCTGTTTTCAAAGTAAGGACAACTTAATTCTTTAGTTCTGATCTACACCACTATCATAGTGATGAGTAATTTTTAGCACATTTTCATTCTTTAGCCAAACTTGTTGCTAAGCAACACAAAAAGTTTTAAAAAGCTTCTTAATTTAGATAGTTAAAACATAACTGTTCCTTACCTTTCATCATGCCCTCCTTTTAAGGATGATTTTTTTTGAAGCCTCCTCAAAGGCATCTTTATCACCTCTTACCCCTCAATCACTGAAGTGGATTCTAACACTGCAGAGATGGTGACTTTACCCTTAATCACAGTCTTATCTTTCCCCAGGGACATTTTCTGAGAAGTACTTTAAGAGCAAAAACATAATTTATATCACGTGTGCCAGAATATGATGTATCTATGAGCTGGCCAAAAGAATTGGATCTATAGGTTCATAAGCATGTATGGTTTTCCTTGGGAATCAGTGCATTAAAGCTAAAAAAAAAGGAAATGTGAATAACTCAGAAGTATGGAGATGAATAACACTTCTGTCCATCAAAAAGTAAAGATTTTTTTTACCCAAATACACTACAAAATACAATTTTACAGTTTCTGTTTTACTTTCTTATAGATTCTTTTAAATATCAGTTTTAAGTATTCAGCAAAGGAGCCACTTACTCTGAAATAAAATATACCTTAGTATATTTTACTTTAAAATGGGAGAAGACAGAAAAGAATAATGTAGTAGAGTAGAACTTTATCATTTCTAAATGGAAGTAACTTATTTAGAAAGAATAACTTCCCAACCTAATTGCACCTAAAGAGTAAAATTTAAATGCTTACTGAGGGTCTTGTGGCTATAGAAGTCAGAGAAAACTCCATCAAGGTGAGATGGCTCTGGGGAAGACTGATGGGCTCACAGCATTACAGGCTAGAGCTCCTATGTGCTAGGGTATATGTAACTAACTAGCTGGAGTTTGGACTTTACTTCTATGTACTTCTCTTTAATTAGTTTTGCTTTGCTGGGAGAAAGCATCAAGAGGATAGCATCCATTCACTTTGGTTACTTGAACTTTTACAGAGGCACAAGTTCAGATCTCACTTGTAAACTTTAGGAAAATTTTATGACTTCATTTTCAGGTTGACATTGAAAAACTCATGGTTATTTGTTTTAACATAGAGTAGATTTCGAATTATAACGGAATGAAAATAGAGAAAACTCTTTAGTCTACTTTCCTTGAGAAATATTACTCCTCAAGTCTCCATAATATATTCAAATAGTGACTTTTCATTCCCTGCCCCCTAACTCTTCTCTCCCATTCCCAATAAGGTACTTCCTGGTTAATTTTTTTCTTTTGAAATACAGTAAAAGAGGGAGCAGATTCCTCTAGCCACCTTCCCATTTTGCTATTTAGGCCACCAGCTTTTGTAGATTTCCTATAGTTAATGGCTCAGGTATCCAGAAATTGCTTATGTCTTTCAACATATTTTAGGCAAAGTACCTGTTCATTCTGTTTCTCTAGAAATTCTAGGTGTTCCAGTTGGACTTTTTTCAACTGATCCATTTCTTTGGACTGCTTCATTGCGAGCTGTAAGAATAAAAAAAAAATCTGGTAAACTTTTGTTGTAAAGACTCATGGATGAAGGCTGAGTTATAAATTTAACAATTTAAATAATTTATATGGAGATCACAATTTTAACAAAAAAAATAGCAGTCTGAAAGCTGGGACACCTTACACGCAGAATTCTTTCTGGGAAGTCCTTTCTGGAAGATAGCAAGTGTACTTATATATAACTGAAACGAAATTTGGCTTCATTTTCTAAATAAAGTGGTGTCAAATATAATTTCCTTAAAGATCTTAGTAAAGGATTACTGTAGCTTCCTTGGAAAAGAGAAGCTGAAATGTTTTATGTACAGAAAATTAAGCAGATTAGAATTTAAATCTAAGCAAGAGGTAATGTTTAGGTTTTTCAAGGAAGATTACCAAGAAAATTATAACATACTTACTCTCTTTCTTTCTTCTAGAAACTTTTTAGTGTTGCTGCTGTTTAATTCTCTGACTCGCCTAAAAATAATGGAAAAAATAGTTGGAATGATACTGAGTGGAATTAATAAACTCTCAAGAATCAGTAATACTTCATTAATTAACTAGATAGAATTATGACTCCTTTTCTCTATTTTCATTGCAGCATTTTCAAAATAAACAACACAGAGAAACAAAAAGAGGCTCTCAATGTCCCAGGCTCAATTAACAAGTACTAAGGATTTGCTATATTCTGGCATTTTTAAAGAGAATGAAATGCAGCAAATATAGTTTAAGGTCCTTTTGTGCTCTTCCTGATTCTATTTCCCTCCTTCCTTTTTCCCAGAAGGCAATCATTGCTTGGAATCTGGTGTGGGCCTTTCCCTGTTATGATTTAATATTTTTACTTACAGATGAATGTATCTGTGTGCAATATATTTGGATACAAATCACCTGGAAGTTCTCTCTCTCTCTCAAAAACAAAGTAGCAAGTCCACTTCAACAGATCTGGAATGGGCCTAAAGGTCTACATTTTTAAAGAGCTTCCAGGCAATAGTGTTCCTGCTGTTTATCATTTCATGTATTTGCAAAATGTACCCAAATAGTAAAATACTCTGGGTTTCTTTCCAATTCAGTGACTTAATAACAGAATTGAAAAATAATTTTGACTCATTCGAACTAAAATCCAGTCTGTAATATACTTGAAAAAATGACAGAGTTATTCATGTTGTATGACATCCTGTATTTTGGACAAATGCAAATTTACATTAATGCCTTATTTTAAAATCATAACTGAAATAATTTGTTTTTGAACAGATGAAGATAGTATTATTTCTATGTATGGAAAGCCTTTAAACAAAGTCCCTTATCTCAGAAAGACATCCAGAGTTTGCCACATTTACAAAAACAAAATCAAAGAGAGGTACGACAGCATTACGTTGCAAATAAGGATTGGTACACATGATTTAAAAAAAAAAAACCTTCCTTGAGAACTCTCATTGTGATACACAAATAACACTCCATGTTAACTGAGGAATGTCTTGGCCAAAATATTCATTTCCAGGTCAAAAATCCTGTGGACTTTCCTATCTCCTTGGTAACTATTATTTGGAGATGGCATGAGGCTTTACACTTCAACATATTTTGACATTTCTTAGCATTGCTTGAAAGGTAAATGTGCTTTTTAAAAAGCAACAGCATTGAGGCAGTTGTATAGCAGCCCTCCTTGTTCAAAGTAGTAAGACCAGGTATCTCAAAATACAAGGTAGCTGGAGGGGATGTGGACAGAAGGGAACCATACTGCATTGTTGGTGGGAGTGTAAACTTGTTAACCACTTTGGAAAGTGGTACAGAGGTTCCTCAAAAGACTCCACATAGAGCTCCCCTATGACCCAGCAATCCCACTTTTGGGCATTTACCCAAATGATCACAAACAAGACCATATTAAAGCTATCAGCACAGCAATGTTTATTGCAGCATTATTTACCATAGCTAAGATAGGGAACCAACCCAGATGCCCCTCAGTAGATGAATGGATCAAGAAAATGTAGTATATATACACAATGGAATTCTATGCCTCCATCAGAAAGAATGGCATTGCCCCATTTGTTAGGAAATGGAAAGATTTGGAAAAATTATATTAAGTGAAATAAGCCAGGCCCAAAGAAACATAGGTCCCATGGTTTCCCTTATTTGCAATAACTAGTATAAGTCTGAGACAAGCAGAAATGGTCAGATAAGTTGATGTTAGGCGAAATGAACCCCAAGATAGGGATTCAAATATTTTTTTAATTTCTTGTGATTGTTTCTAACATATTTATAAGATGATTTCTTTATTGCTTTGTATGTCCCTCCCCCCACGGTATAACCCCTGTTTAAACTGTATTTGATGTGGGTATAATTTGTGGAGGGGAAGGGAAAAAACAAATCGTTTAAATAGGGATACAGGTGGACCCATTGCAACAATGAGATATACAACGGTTATGTCGAAAAATGAACTTTACAACTTTGATTTGGGGGGGGAGGGTAGGGGGAGGATCGGGTACAGGGGGGAGTGGGGGAAGGATGGGAAGGGATGGGAAGGGGAAACAAAGGAGGAGGCTACAATGCTTGATAAGAAATGTACTCATTATCTTGCCCATGTAATTGTAACCCCTCTGTACAGTATTTTCACAATTAAAAAAATACAAGGTAGCAGAGGAGTGAAAACATGGAAGTTCTACTTTGTGGCTTCCAAGTAATCTAACAGCTTAGCCTATGGTTCATTGAGGGTGAATGGCTTTGCTTATGGAGCTCACTGCCTTTGATCTTCAGAGGTGGAAGAAAACCAGACAGGTGAATGAATGTGTTATCTGTGATGACTGGCAACCAAGAACCATTAACTTCCTCTCTTAAGCATCACAACTACTGATGTTCTTCAAGTCCTCTTTAACAATAGCAGTTAAAGGTTCTTACACCTGGGACCTGCCTTCACTGGCCTTATTCAGGCCCCGTCTTGGTTCCCTCCTGTATCCACCAACTTCCCTTGGCTGAACATCTTTCTTAGTGAGACATGCACCTGAATTCCTGTGCTAGTCTCTCTTCCCAGAAAACCCACTCAGAACAAAGACAAACTTGAAAAACTTTGGCAGGAGCTTTGAAGTTCATCTCTGCTTGTCAAGAGATTAAGACATCAAGCTGGGCGCTCGGGGCTCATGCCTGAAATCCTAGCTACTCAGGAGGCTGAGATCTGAGGATCACAGTTTGAAGCCAGCCTGGGCAGAAAAGTCCCTCTGAGATTCTTATCTCCCATAAACTACTCAGAAAAGTCAGAAGTGACGCTGTAGCTCCAGTGGTAGAGCACTAGCCTTGAGCACCAACAGGCTCAAGGAAAGCACTCAAGCCTTGAGTTCAAGCTCCAGGACCAGCAAAAAATAAATAAGTAAAATAAAGAAAGAAATAAGAGAGCTCAAGACATGAATGGAAGAAGATTGCCTTCCTGCTATTCAGACCCTTCCCATCCAAGACTATGGATGATCAAGTGAGGTACTTGCAAAATAACCCCACAGAGTGCAGAAAGAAAGGATGTTTTAGAATTACACTGATTATTACATCATGTTCTACAAAATTTTTGTTGCAAACAAGCACACATGTACTGAATATAAATTTATTTTACTTGTAGTAAACAAATAGAAAACTTAGAGAACATACTTACCTTTCCCGTTCTGCTTTGTTCTTGATAGATTTATCTTGGCTGATGGCTTTGCTGTTTTCCATAGAAATCTTAGCCTGGTGGGCTCGCATTTCCTTGCTCTCTCTATGTATGAAACACAAATGAGATGAGGGTGGAGAGTCAGTGATTAATGGCTGCAAGGGCTTCACTTAGGGAAGGTGAAAGGTTCTGGAGAATGTTGGAGATAGTGTCCCCAAATGGGAATGAACTGTCACATACTTACAAATCGTTACATGGAAACCTTTTATGTTATCCATTGCATGCCTCTTCTGTCTCAGTAACTCTGGAAATAGGTTTCCTTTTTATTAGTATTATCAAGTTCATTTAGTTATTTTGTGTTTGAGAGAGGGAGGGACAGAGATCCAACTCATAGGAACGCTAATCTCTGCAGGGCAGTGGGCCATCTAGTGGTGAGGTAGCTTGTGGGGGCTGGTAACAATTTTTTATCCATCAAAACCAAGGCACCAGTAAGTGGCTCATGCCTGTAATCCCAGCTACTTAGGATCCAAGGATAGTGGTTGGAAGCCAGCCCAGGAAGAAAAAATCTGTGACACTCATCTCCAATTAACGACCAAAAAGCCTGCAGTGCAGCTGTGGCTCAAGTGCTAGAGCACTATCTTTGAATGAAAAAGCTCAGGAACAGTTCCCAGGCCTTGAATTCAAGCCCCAGTTTAAAAGCAAGCAAGCAAGCAAACAAACAAAACAACAACAACAGGAGTTTACCCTGGGTATGGCTGACTTTCCTACCTGTCATGGGACAGTTTAAGCTGCTGGGTTTGTTGCTCATGAGCATTGATTAGCAGCTTTCTCAGTAATTCACACTGCTGGTTAAGGTGCAGGTCCCGGATCTCTTGCTCCTCTGCACTGTGGGTATTGATCATTTCTGACCACTCTTTTGTGTGCTGAGCTACAATCTCTTTGACCTGTTGGAGAAAATGGAACAATATCATCTGGAATCTTCACAGTTCAGGTATGAACTGAAAGCATTATCATTCTTGCACTTCAGATTCCTCCCACCAATTTACTTGGAGAATCACTGGAAATCCACACACTGAACAAAATGATACCTACTGATGGATGGGGATTAGGAAGTCATTGCTTATTAAAAATCAATCAATTGCTTTGACTCAGTGTTTAACCATGCCTGGTATTTCACTGCCTAACTCACATTCCGCTTTATCTAAATCATAGGCTCCTCTACAAGTTCCACCTAAGCTTTGCTTCTATATGGCCACAGGTTGGAATAAAGTGAAGTGCTCTCCTCAATTACATATTACTGCATCCTCTCGAATAGACACTGGGGTAGGAAGTCCTCCAGTCCTGATAGCCATATTCTTTGCAATATGGCTGTGTAGTTCCTTTTGGTAACACATCACAGTTTCTCCATGAAATTACACTTGGCTAGCTTTGTGACTTCCTTTAGGAGATGAGGAGATAGTAAATCAAAGCAGAGGGAAACTGTTAGGTGATGTAAGCAGAGGAAAACTGTTTTCCCCTTTGTTGTGTTTGGTACCCTGTTGCTGAGCTTGCTAGAGACTACAAGTAATATACGAAAAGATAATCAGCAACCAGCCAACCATCAGATGCACACGTGAGGCCAGGAAACCCCAGCTGACTAGAGACACATGAGTGAGCTCAGCAAAATTAGAAGAACCACCCAGTAGACTATAGCCCAAACTTCACTTCACTGAGTTGTGAGCTAATAAATGGTCATTATTTTAAGGCCTTAAATTTTGACAGCTTTTTATGCAGCAAAAAACCCTAAGTATATTATCATGTACTTGGTCATGGTATCCAAAGAACTCCCTGCTCCAGAGAAGCTTACTGCTTCTATATAGTTCATATTATACCCCATGGATCGTATCAAAGTGAACATTATCTAGAACAGCATGGCTGGCTCATGTGTGCAGCAAGGTCATAGTGCTCAAAGACATAGCTGCCCACAGACATGAACACCAGATGGTTAAACCAAAAGCTGCAGTTGGGAGCTTTAAGGGTTTTTACTTTTAAATTAATTATTGCTGGAAGTTTTTATTTTTTTTAACCAAGCCTCAGTAATTAGGTCTTCAAATGTTCAAAACATTAGTTAAAGTGTTTCAAGCTTCTATTTTTTTCTTGTCGTAGGAGAAATGCAAAGATGGAGTAGGTTTTTTAACAAATACTTTCCCTCAATTTTGGGAGATTTTTGGTTATGTACTTACTGTTACTTCTTTTGAAAAATATTTTTATTGTAAAGATACTGTACAGGAGGGTTACCGTTCCGTGAGTAAGGTAATGAGTACATTTCCTATTGAGCACTGTTACCCTCTTCTTTGTTTTTTCCCAATACCCTTCCCTCCCCACTTATTGTTACTTCTATAGGAAAGAGTATTCTGTATTTTATTCAGTATTTCTTTTTGGTCTTTTTACACATTGTTTCACTTGATGCCTTAGAGTGGGATAATATAAATATTGCTAGCATATTTGTACACATAAGACAAAAATGATTTTCCATAAGGTGGATTTCCCAAAGGCAGCAAATTGGGGAACATATGAACCTCAGATCCCATCTTCCTATACCACTGTTGTTTCTGACATCAACACAAGTAGCTATTCTAAAGGAACTATGGTGTCTTCTGCAAGTCACCACTGTGGAAATGGGCATTTTCTCACCTTAGATTTGTGATCTGATGTCAGGGTCTGAATTTTAATTTCTGTTTCTTTCTTCATTTCAAGACAATTACTTCCCCTGAAAATAGAAAATTGCAAATGCATGCTAGAAATCAGATCTCTTCTAATTCCTTTAGCCTCTGTGACAGGGCTTTCTAATGAAAACAATATATTCATCAAATGTGGGATGCCCTGGCTCAATGGGGAGCATTAGTTTTTCTAGTAATAGACTGATACCTTACAAAATATTATCTGTATCATGATTACTCAATTCAATCACCACACAAAGAAACACTTCAAACTTAGCAATTATTTCATTGTTATGTCTGTTGTCAGAGTTTCCATTTTGGTTCCTGTTTTTCTTTGAGCTGATTTTTTTTTCATTTAGTCAATCAAATGTTATTTGGAATGAAAACTGGAAAATAGAGGTCCTCAGCCTTAAGTGAATTTCTAATTCTTCCATTTTGGTTGTGAAGCCAGATTTTTGTCTTTTAAACATGCCAATGAAGAAGAAAATACCATTTCTTGGCATCAGAGGGAAACTTTTTTTTTTGCTTCTTATTGTATCATAAATAGGAAATACATTTGAGGCAACTGCCCAGCAATCATTACTGCTGATTTCGGTGATTATGTTTTCTTTTCCATATGACTGTTGAAACAGGGACAGGTTCTGAGCTTCTGTCTTCAGCATGTATGCTCTGGTTTATTATAGCCCAAGTCAGAATGCTTCATTATATTGTGAATTGAGTATTCTTTCAGAGAAGCATTATTCAGAAACTTCAAAGTCTCTCATCAAATCTATTACTTCTCACTGACTGACTCCGAGTGTTTTTCTTCTGTCATCTGTCATTCAGTGGAATATTGCTGAAACATCCCCTTGTCTTATTTCTAGACACAATCTTTACAGCAAATGCAACAAAAGATTTAATTGCAACTTCTTATCTACTGGCATAAACTAAATATTCCTGATATTTTGAAAATCAAGATTGCATTTTCTCTTGTGCATTCATTTATTTATTTTCTGGGCTACGTAAAAAAAAAAATCTGTAATTGCTTTTCCTTCTCCTCCCATTCATGTTCTCTGCTTTGCCTTGAAGATGGTGAGTGAAAAACCCCATGAGAGACATACTGATATGTTTACTACAGAGCACTTGAACAAAGTTTGCTTTTTCACGTAGTCATTCCCTTCAGCTAAGTAGGAAGAGAAAGGAAACCTACAAGTGCTTCCTGAATTAGGATAGATGCCTGATAAACACATCATAAGTCTTTCAAAGGCAAAAATGCATTTAATCTACCCAAACTTCTACACATCCTATTTTGACAATATAGTCCAATGGTAGCCTACCATAGTTCCCCTGGGTGATTATATGGCTGACTAGGGGATCTGCCCAGCAGCCAAAGGTTATCCTACCACCTCTTAGTATACTAGGAAAAGATCCTCAAATTCAAAGTGCACATTCTTGTTATAAAGATAGAAATTCATAATTCAAATAGTCGTAGTCAAGAATTATCTATATTTATTTTAGAAACAGATTCCACTGAGGAAATCTCCAAAAATTATCACCACTTTTGACTTTCATGGATGATTTAGTAACTTGAAGAAAATATGTCTAGATGATCTTGATGAAGGACAGAGGGAAACTCTAGTTTGCTCTGCTGGCCAGAAGAAATCAACTGATGTCTGGTTTCACAGATCTTTTTGGGGTTTTGTTTTTGCTTTTGAGACAGGGTCTAAATATGTAGCGCAGGCTGGCCTTGAACTAGAGATCTTCTGCCTCAACCTCCCAGGTGCTGGTCTTACAAGGCATATGCCAATCATGCTTTTAATGAATTGTGGTTACTTTTATTCCTTGAAGTATTTAGGAAATACTCTTCAGAGTCTGGAGGCTGAGTGGTTTTCTTGTTCTCTCGTTTCACTCCTGGCGAAGTAAGACTTTGTCGAGAGATCTCCAACAATGCTTATTAGACTGACTTGGGAGTTAAGTGTAGAACAGGAGCAATATGTAGTAAAGGTCACTTTCATCCACTTTTAATCTTTGTGAGTAAAAATAATGAAGTAAAGATGTACTTTACCTATTTTTGGAGTTATAAAGGCATTATTATTGATTTATGGATTTAAAGAACTGCAGTATCCTTTTTTTAAAGCAAAGAAACTCTGTACATGGTGCTTGAGCCTAAAATGTCATTAGATTCTGGTTTAAACACATGAAAAGATAAAAGATAAAATGGGTGACATTGATCAAGATACATTGTAATATTAACTGATTTGTAGAATGGTAAAAACAAAACAAGACAACTTTGACATGCAATTATTCTAAGTGGAATGTAAATTAATGACTATTTTGGGAATAATTGGGAAAGTTAGCATAGTTAAATATTCTTATTCAAAAATCTTCGATTCTAAATGCCTGTAGTTTCTATTTGTAAAGACAGATGGATCTTGATCCATCTTTCATTAAGTAAGTCTTCTGAATTTAAAAAAAGGAAATTCTCAATATCGGTATCTACAAAACCCAAAGTATTTAAAAAATAATGACTTGTGAAACATTCTTAGAGAATATTATCAATTTGCAAAAAAATTTGCTCCTTAAAAATATGGTGTTAGAGCTTATTTCTACTTCTTTCAACATTCTTATCTAAAATGTCATTGGAAATAAGAAAATAACTGGAAAACAAAATTCTACAGCTGCTGATAGGGTTAGAAGTCCAGAAAAGTCATCATATGGCCAAATGAGCTGCGAGATGGCTGAGTTTGATCTAACTCACTTAAAATATGGATTGATCATAGTCAATTCATCATAGTCATATGCTACTTTTTTGAATGGCAGCTTCTTTTACAACCACTTAAGGATAAAAATAAAAGAAATAACATATGGATTGAAAAATATTCAAAGCAGGATGCCTTATTCTGCTTCTATGACATAGTCAAATCAATGACCAGACTGTGCATAATAACTATGCTTCCCAGTCAGTGCCTGGCGTGTGTGTGTGTGTGTGTGTGTGTGTGTGTGTTTAATTATATGAAGGTACCTCTTAAAGTTTGAGATCTGAGGTTAGGCTAGGTGTTATGTTGTTACTCACCATTGATCTCTCAAGGTAAATGACACTAGTTTCATGCAAAAAAGGAGAAAAAAAGTGACCTTTGGAACCAGAAATTGTGAGAAACATTCTGTTTTTAGACATTCAGTTTTCTAGGTATATCTAAAGCATCAGCAAATGAAAGTACAAAATGTAATTCTTTTCTCCCTTTCTTTACTATCAAAAGCTGTGGAAGGTGAGAAGATATTCCGCAGAAAGCTGAAGATAGAGAATAAAAATCAAGAGAAAATCCATTAAAGGAAGACAAAGCTGGGCCAAAAATTGTATTTCACAGAAATAAGACTGTAAGACTGCATAGACTTGCAGTATCTTCCCCAAGGGGAAAGTAGGTAACCTGACAGTGCAGACCCTTGTCAGATGATCAGATCAGCATCTCCTATGTTGTAATGTCAACAGTACCCTCTCCTCAATACCAGTCACTTCACAGGGCATCATTGTTATCATGCTACCCTTATCAAACATTCATAACTTCCCTTAAATCATGAGAAATACCAAAAGCCAAAAGGAGTCTCATTCTACAAAACAACTGAGAATTATTCTTCCAAAGTGGAAAAAGTCAAGAGACCATGAGAGACTGAGGATCTATAACTGACTAAGGGTACTGAGAAGTACGTAAATGCAATATGCAATTTCTAGGGTGAATCCCAAAGCAGAAAAGGGATATGAGGGAAAAAAACAAAACTGGTGAAATTTGAAAAAGCACCACAGTTTTTTGAACAGCATTTCACCAATGTCACTTTCCTGGGCTTATGATTATATTATGGCTGTATGAGAAGTTACCATTTAAGGAAGCAGAGTTAGGAGTAAGTGGGGGGCGGGGGGACATAGAAAAGGTGAACCACAGGGTTAACAAATATAGCTGTGGTACTCACTAGCCAATAAATGGAACATGAACTACAGGACTTGTGGGTGGGGACAAAAGGGTAAAGAATGGGAGAGATCAAGGTAAAGGGTGACATGGTTCAAAAAGAAATGCACTCATTACCTGACTTAGTCAACTATAATCCCCCTGTATATCACTTTTATAATAACAATAAAAATATTAAATAAAAATAAAAGAGTAAGTGGGAACTCTAGCACAGGGCATGTGGGCTAAAGTCCCATTTGCGTTCCTTAAACCAAAGACAATACTTAGCAATACTATGTTTCTTCCTACACATAGCTAAATATGATACGGTTTATTTTATAAATTAGTCTCAGTAAAATATTCACAACTATAGTGATAAAAATGGAACAATTGAAATAATATACTATAATAAAAGTTCTTTAAAGCTTATAAATTAGTATTTCAAGAAATTTCCTTTTAATATTTTTGGACTGTGGTCAACTGTGGGTAACAGATATACCAACATAATCAAACTGCAGATCATAGAGAAACTATTGTGTTTCTTCAACTTATCCTATAATTTTCAAGTTAATTACTTAGCATTATGTAAGAATAAGTTACCACCAATTATCAGAGTAGAGAAATGTTTTTTTTCAATTAGTTTTGACTGAGATTCCTTTGTTATATTTGAAGACGTTTTGATAAGTTACTTAGTTCCAACATCTCTACTGAGAACCTTCCTTAAACCACAGAAAAGTCAGTGAATGCCTTAGGCTGCTATGTTAGTATGTTTTAAAATGGCTCATGCTTTCCAGGAGGATTTTTAATGAGCCAGCATTGATGCAGTTATTCCTTGACCTTGGCAGACAGGTACACTTGGAAAAGATAAACTATAATAAGAAGAAAGCCCCTGGAAGGAAGTGAACAATCTTACCCTTTCTTCTTCATTGCTTTTTCTAAGATTTTCTCATGAGTTGACTTCTCTTTGTCATACTGAGCCACAATTTTGTCAACTTGTGTGCAATGCAACTTCTGCATGGTACTATGCTCCTGAAGGAAAAGAATTTACAGTTATTTGTTGGGTTTTTAGTGTGGCTGAGAAGCTTGACATTTGAGAAGCCAAGGATTAAACCAATCTGAGAACATCGCACACTCTCTCAGACTCCTGTCCAGCACATACTTTGTTGGGAATCCCCAGTAAGGGCCATCCTCAGCCTCAGAATAATAAAAATGCTGCTTCAAAAGGCAGCTCTGCTCAGAGGTAGCAGTGCTAATCCTCTCAAAGTCCTTTCATATACATGCACATCTTTATACATTTCCCACCTGCTTATCTTCATTTTTTAAAGAGGTCTTGCTATGTTACCTATGCTATTCTTGAACTGGGCTCAAGTAATTATAAGGCCTTAGCTTCCTGAGTAATTGGAGTGAAAAGCATATGCCACAGCATTTAGCTTACCCATTCATCATTGTTCTGTTGTCTCAGACATCTAGTCCATTGTCCTTTCCACACACTAGTCCCTAAAAACCTGTTTGGCCACCATATTGCTTCATTTTTGTCTAAATATAACTATCTGCCATGTGACATATTTCAAAATACTTGACACATTTTGGAATTTATTAATTTCAAGGAAAAAAATTAATTTCAAGGAAAAAATTCCTTGAAGACCATCCATACAGAATGAAGACTGTCATTATGGCTGCTACCATGAGCTGGACTTGAACCTATAGGACTGATAGTGTCACTGACTTCCTTATTAATGATACCAAGACTGTTCAGAAGCACTGGCCTTCAGCGTCACAGATATTTAAACTACTTTTTGTGACCTTCTTAAATCACTGAAATTAGGGTTCAACTCTTTGAAAACTGTTTTTCTCTAAGCATCATTTTCTTCCAGACAATAAGGTATGCAAAGCCCTTGGACAATTCAAATAGCATTGAAGTAGTTGTTTTCCTCTAAGTAAGCTATTCCTATTCACTAAATTTCACTTTACTCCTGTCTAAAATGTGGAGAGTATTATTTAGGTCTCAAGGATACTGTGAGGATTCAAGAATGTTCATAAAATGTGTGATGCCAATACATGTCTGATTGAGAATTCAGATTCCATACATTCCACAGAATAACAAAGTTAGTCCCATGTGTGTGTATTCAGTGTGGGAGAAGCAATTCATTCATAAGATTAGCATCACACACTTACGACTTCCATTTCTGAAGTGTAAGAGAATATAAAAACCAAGCAATGAGATGTAATCCTGATCAGAAATGCTTGGAAAAAGCAGCAGCACATGGTCACATAAATTACTGTGGCATGTTAGTCACAATGTAAAATACTTTATGGAATTCTGAAGGCTAATGCTTCTTTCACAGAATTACTGTGGCATGTTAGTCACAATATAAAATACTTTATGGAATTCTGAAGGCTAATGCTTCTTTCACAGAATGCATGATAAAGCTGTAAGAAAGTCCACAGAAATCCAGACAGTGGGCTTTAAGAAGACAGTAAATCTTCTTTTACATTCTATGATAATGGACCTTTAGAAAGTTAGAAGTTATTTTCTGCAAGGGAAGGTAATCTAATTTATCCAGTCATTTGGAATTTACTGGTTGGTGACTGATTTGAATCTTTTCTTCCTAACCAGAAAACGGATGGAATGAAGCCTAAGGCTTCTTAAGGTGAGGGAAAGGTCTACTAGGATCATTTCTAAGAAAGATGTCGTGTGTGCTGGGAGGTTTATTCGGCCACAGGAGAATTCCCAGAGTTCTCATAAATTTGCAACTGTATCTTAACATGTCTCCTAACTGCTATCCAAAAGGTTTCTTCTGAGTAAAAAAGCAAAATAAATAAATTTCAGAAGTAGTCTTCTGGGTGGGGTTTATATCACCTTGGAGGATGGGAGAGTGAGAATCAGTACCTCGCTAGGTGAAATGAGCAGACATTCAAGCTTGCTAGCATCTGTCTCCCCATAGTGTACGGGGTAAACCATGGCTAGTGACCCAGGGAACTGAGGAAATGAGCAGAAGAAAGACTTTACCTTTGCATGTTTCTTCTTTAAAGAATTTAATTCTTTCTGTTGTTTCTTTAAATGTTTCAAGTAAGCCTGTAAAGGAGGAGTGGGGAAGAAGATCTAAATTAAGTTTATTTTTCTTGGAGGCAGAATGACTACACTTAGTGAAAAAATACATTGTTTTATCAATAGATATAGCACAAGAGTGCTTGAGCAAAGGACAAGCGATTTTACCTTCATTTGCTTCAAATCTTCTATCCTTATTTGAGGGATAAGTTCAATACCTTAAAAGAAAGTCACACAAAAGTTACTCTGTATGTTAACAATTGGAGAAAATAATAGATGACACAAATTCAATTTTAAATCTTATATAAAGACCCCAAAACAGCTTTGCAGCTAAAGGATATAATATATATATATGTAAAGGATATAACATATATAATACACATATCTTATTATCCTTAAGTAGTTGTACAAAGGATTTGCCATTCAACAAAGCAGTTTGAATGAAATGCATCTTGATCAAATGTCATTCCTTTCATCTTTCTCCCTCATCCCTCCCAACCCCACTCCTTCCCTTGATTTTCTTAATTTTGTAGGATATACATTACATTTATGAAAGATATAAACATTTTAATTCTTATTGCAAAGCACTTAAGTAAACCATTAGAATGCTTAGTGTCTTAGTTTCCCTAGCAGCAGAAGATATATGCACATGTGACTTATTGAAGGTAGACTCAGGAGAAACTGCTCAGCAAGAAGCAAGGCCAGGTATTGGTGGATCATGCCTGTAATTCTAGTTACTCAAGAGGTTGAGATATGAAGGTCACACTTTGAAGCCAGCCCAGGCAGGAAAGTCTGTGAGGCTCTTATCTTTGACCCAGACAACTAGAAGTGGAGCCATGGCTCAAGTGGTAGAGGATAAGCCTTGAGCAAAACAGCTAATGAACAGCATCCAGGCCTTGAGTTCAAGCCCCAGTATGGGCACAAAAAGAGAGAGATAGAAGCAGAATAAGGCATGGCATACTTCTAGCTGAAACCCAGCCTCAGCCTGTCCTATGAGAGGTCCTCAGTATAAAAGGCACTTAGGAGAAACTTGATCTGGATAGAAGGAAATTTGGCTCCATGGGAGCCTGTGGAGAACTTCAAAGGTTCCATAAAATAATTCAGGCATTTCCAGGCAAAGGAATTCTCATAGTCTTGGTAATTCTGTAGAAGGGGCAGCTAGAATTTACAAAGAGCCAACACGAGCAGCTCAGGGATTGGCTAAGTGACCTCCATAAGGGAATCCGATCAGGCTCTGTGACACCTAATGCAGTTAGCTCTGCATTCATATGTGAAAGCATATCCTATCATACCAGTCCACGAACTCCCAACTCCATTCCCAACTTAATCATCACTAATGAATAAGACTTTTAAAAGGCATTATAAAATAATCAGCATTTAAGCCACATGTTATCTGAGTGCAGCAATGCCCTTAACACAAAGGAAATAATGAAATCAAAGCACTACATAACAGAATGCTGCCTTTAGTACCTAGAGTAATGTACCAAGTTATCTTGCTATCTGAGTTAATGCTAGGCCATAAGTTGTCATGGCAACCTCGGTGGTAGAAGACTCTCTAATGGGTTCTGTTTGACTGCAGATTTTCATCCGAGGCAAATAAAATGAATGCACACTCAATACTAAATTGATTTCCATTAGAATCCCAAAGGCCAGGTATGATACTTCAAGACAGATAGATATGAAGTCTGCATCAGATCTCTTTGTCTTTCAGTTCCGTTTGTTTTAAGATCTGAAGATCCAGTGTTGGGGGGGGAGGGGGTGTAAAAGTAATCTTGACTGAGAGAAATGAGTACTGAGAGCTCTGGCATTTTAAGATAGGATGTGAAGGATAGGCAGGAAATTTCCTGAACCCTTAGGTCATAATGTCGAAATCTACCTCCCTGCCTTATGGCAGACAGTGAGGCAGAGGCAGTATAGGATAGGGAAGTGAATCCCAGCATGGTTAAGAGCTTTATAATGTTGGTTATCAGTTCTCTTGCCTATAAAATGAACACACAGGATTGGAGGGTCTTGCACAGACCTCTAGAGAGCTAAGAAGTACAAACAGCTTGGCTGATGAGATTTCTTTTTCTTGTTTTAGTTTTGGTTCAACAAATTCCTGATAAACAGGAGCCTGAAACAATATATACTGCCCTCAATGGCATTTTTTGCACTGTTAGAAAAAGGAACAACATACAATTTAATTCCCCTTAGTGATTTAATTAAAAAATCTCATATTGCACCTAATCCATGCACATGGACTTTTCCATCAATATGCCCAGAGCAGCATGTCAAAGGCACATTTAATGATGGTGGAAATGTCTCGTGTGTGAGGTGCCTAAGAGCCAGCAGCTACACAGGCTGCTTCAGCATCTCGTGGGTAGGGAGCTCAAGTTTCAAATGTCTGAGGGTAAATTAAGTATATTTAGATAGTCACAGGTAGCTACAGGATACTATCTTCATACCAACCTCCCTGGGATGAAAGTGGGATAAGAGGCACACATTTTGGGATCTAAAGATTCGAACTGAAGTTTCAGAGGGGACATCATCCAAAAAAATGCACTCAAAACCTGACTTATGTAACTGTAACCCCTCTGCACATTGTCTTTACAATAAATATTTTAGAAAAAGAAAAATGTTTTTTGTTTTTAACAATATTTCTAAAACAATAACATGTCTTTTCTCAAATCCAAATTTCTAAGTTAGGTAGGAATTGGTTCCTTCCCTCCCTTCCTCCCTCCCTCCCTTCCTCCTTCCTTCCTTCCTTCTTTTTTTCTGAATTGGTTCCCTCCCTCCCTCCCTCCTTCCTTCCTTCCTTCCTTTTTTTCTGAATTGGTTCCTTCCCTCCCTTCCTCCCTCCCTCCCTTCCTCCTTCCTTCCTTCCTTCCTTCCTTTTTTTCTGAATTGGTTCCTTCCCTCCCTTCCTCCTTCCTTCCTTCCTTCCTTTTTTTCTGAATTGGTTCCTTCCCTCCCTTCCTCCCTCCCTCCCTTCCTCCTTCCTTCCTTCCTTTTTTTCTTTATCTCTCCCTCCCTGCTTTCCTTTCTCTCTCTCTCTGTTCTCTCTCTCCTTTGCTCCCTTACTCCCACCTTGTGTGTCAGTACTGGAAGCTGTCCCTCAGCTTTTTCACTGAAGGGAGAACCACATCTCTGTTTCCAGTGTTTTTCTGGTTAATTGGAGATAAGAGACTCTGGGACTTTCCTGCCCAGGCTGGCTTCAAGCTATGATCCTCTGATCTTAGCCTCCTGAGTAGCTAGGCTTATAGGTGTGAGCCATTGGAAACTAGCTTGGAGTTGGATTTTCTGACCCTCTTGTCTTTGGAATGAAAAGGAACTAACGCAGCCTGGGTGGGATCACTGCTGTGTGGTTGCCGGTGTAGAAGCTGTTCAGAACTTCCTTCAGAGATGCCACAGTGAACTCTGTCCACTTCACCCCTCTGTCCACTTCATGACCTCTCTACACAAGCCCTTACTTGTGCTCCTCATTCCCTAAGAGCTCTCTTTTCCAATTTCCTTCTGTTTCTTTTCAACAGTTGTTACTGTCCATCATAACAAGCATGTTTATCTCTGAAGTTGTCACACTGTTTTTCTAGCCAAGGTTTTTACCCTTATGTCCAGATATATCAGGCACAGCTCAAAGTCAAAGAATCTAGGGCCAGAATCATCATCTTCCTTACCAAAAGCAATTCCTCCTTTCAACTCTTTTACTTCTCTCACTATCAGTTTCTTCATCTTAATGCTTTGAACCATTTTTCTCCCTAAGGTCAAAATCCAAGCTACCATTTTATTTCTGTTCTGTTTCTTCTTCTTTCCATGTGATTACTTTCAGTTTAACTCAGGCCCTCCTTGTCACTCTGATTTATTTCCTAAGAAAAGAAATGGCTAGATCTTTCTTAGGCTCAGCTGCAGTGATGGTGAGGCATGGTTTCACCTGCAATAATCCTTCTGGCTAGCATCCTATAAACAGAATGTGATAAATGTGATAATAGAGGTATGAGTACCATAATTCCTAATGTCCCTTACCATCTGCCCTTTATACTGCATTCTCTGCTAAAATAGTACTAATCTTAACATTGTACATGGATCATTGTTCTTCATTGTCTCTTAAAGTGATCCCAGAATCCTTTGTAAACTTCTTACTAGTACCATGAGCATTTATGGTGCTACCTTCCTTTGTACCTAGTTACTTCCACATAGCTGACTCTGAAATGTTCCACTAGGATTCTCTCTGGGCCCTTCCACCTTTCTCTTCCTGTTTGAATCACATCTGTGTTTCAAGGTCCAAGTCAATGGCGATATTATCTGAGTCTTCTCTTGGATTTTAGCTGTAAAGAATATCTATGCTTTTTCTGTTATGAGTTGTCAGCCCACACTGCACCTGCTTGAATAGGCCATCATGTGGAGGTCTTGTCCTTATACCCCTAACCACTTAGTCATGCAAAGTCTCTGAAGATACACAGGCATAGCTTATTGAACTTAGTATTCGAGCAGGCCTCCAATAAATGCAACATAAAATGCATAAAATGCAACATAAAATGCAACATGTGTACATTCTCTTTTTCAAGTCACCGGGGGAGAAGACTGGTATAAAAGTGAGAGCTACTTGGCTTCTTCCATGCAGTCTGTCTTGGATACAAGGGTGAGTCAGCTCTATGCCCAAGCATGTTCCCTTCTAGAATGAGGATCAATTTTGTCCTCTAGAAACTAGTCACACTATGTTGGGTTTTTTGGTCGCTTACACTATAATTACTAACGTCTTTATGTACTCATGGGCATGAGGCAGGAAATTTAACACAACTTTCTGATTTTCCACTGTCTATCTCTATCTAAGTAGCAATGCTAATGACCAGGACTAATATGCAAAGCCTGTATCATTACCTTACTCAGTGTTCTTTCTAAGGGAGAACAGACAGACAGCTGCAGTGCCAGTACAAATTGGGCTACGTTTGTGTAGACTCATTTTCTAATTTGTTTCACAATGCTCAATGCACATTTGGTTTCCTGCTAAATTACTATGTTGCTTTGGTTTGGGAAAAGCCTGTCATTTCTTACCTTAAACTGAAAAGCACCGTGCGTTCTTAAGTGTATGAACAACTTGATTTTCTTATACCAGGGACACTGAAGTGTATAAATCAGAACTGTTTCTACTGAGTAATAAGTCATTACGAGAAAAAGAAGTTTTCATTATAGTTGGGAGAGTAAATTTCGTACATGATTCAAGGCCACGGTTATCCCAGTGTGGGATGGGCAGTGTTCAATCTAAAAGGATGTCAACTTTTGATAGCCAGCATAGTTGTTTCTTTACATACCAACTGGCTACATGGGACATGGAGCCTGGCAGATGGGACATATAATTCCATGTGATGACATCTCTTAGTAACCACATGGAAGTAGCCTTCAAATAAATATCCAAGAGTTTTACAAGTAAATAATCACAGGTACTATCTGTGTATAAGAGGAATTTAGAATTCCTCTATATAAAGGAATTTAAAAATATAGACCACTCCCTGTTCAGATAAGTACATGTGATGCTATCCAGAGAAGAGATGAAATTTCTAATAACATCCCGTGTTAAAGTTTCTTTTTGTCCATAAAGGGCACCAAGTTTAGATATAATATAAATCTATGGATTATGATACTGGTGCAGAGGTTCTAGCAGACAAAACACAAATGTGACTCGCTATTCAACACTTAGGGAAATTAGGCAGCTTGTCCAACAAAATATACTGCTTTACCATTGCTGGCACAATGAAAACTGACAAAACTGACAATCCTGAGTTCTCTCCTAGAAGGCACTTTAGAAAGAAACTGAAATTGACAAAAGAGATATAAAGAGACAATCACCCTCTCACCTTTCTTAGCTTCCTGTCCAGAGCCCAGGGCAGCTGTAGTTGTTGGTCTGAGTTCGGAGCTACTTTGAGGGGTCACACTTGCTTTGGCGGTGTTAGCTTTTCCTTTCTTGTCATTCTTGGAAGTGTCACTGGGCACATCGGCAATGTCACTCTGGAACAGAAACATTCAGACTGACTGACTCAAGTGAAAAAGCCGCTCAAGGTCAAACACCTAGCACGTAATCTTAGTGTACAGCTGGTACTCTTCATTCCCTGTCAGACTTCTACTGTGTTAAAGGATCTTTCTTTGCCTAATAATAGAGCTTCTATGGCTATCTTTAGGCTGGAAGGCAAAAGATCAAGACAAAGAAGGAAACTTAGCCTCTTTGTGAGCAAGATACATCTTCTCTTTTCTCTACACTGAGGAGTCTGGTAAGTAGAACATTTTAACACAAGGAAATAAACTCAAATAAACAATATAAGCATGCACTAGAAACAGAGCAAGTTGGGAGGCAGAGATAAAAAAAAGAAGCAAATATCACTTTCATTAATTCACTGAACTGTGTGTCAATTGGTATTTCAGGTATTGCAAAAGCATCCTATATTTTAAACTTTCCTCACCGCAGCATGAATATTTTCTATTTTAGGTCTAATGGGGCTGAGATCCCCAGATGTTTTATTTTTTTTAAGGTGACTCTTTTGTATATTAAAAGTGACCATATTTTATTAAACATATTACATGCTTGTGGACCCTTGAAGCCTTGTTGAATTAATGAAATCAGTTCTGAAAACCCTCTTAAAACTTGCTGTATTACTGCTTTATTTTGCTTCTGTAATCACTGACAACCAAACTCCCCAACTCAAATGACTTCAATCAACCGTTTCTACGTACAGTTTCAATACCCATTGCTCTCATTTGGTCTGCTCTCTTTTCCGTAATTGAAAGAAATTTCTTTGGATCTGATAAAGCATCCACAATATCTAGAAAGGAAAAAAAGTCAAATAAGCTGTAATTCTCTGCTTTATTGAATAAGAAAGCCAGCTAATAAATTCTTCAATAATCCTGAACATCTGTTAGGCTTTCTAAGTACTTTTCTACCAGGACTTATGACTTATAGACTTAAATAAGTACAACTGGATTCTGAAAATGAATAAAAAAGAAAAAGCAAGGGTCAGAGGCAGATAAGTTTCTTTAGTTTCTGACTAAAGTAGCAGGGGAAACAGAATAATCTGCCTTAGGTTCTTTACTCTTCATTTCTTTGTGTGACTTTCAGCCAGCCAACTAATGCCCTCAGCCAGTTTCTTCATTTGAAAATTATGGACGATACTAGCCACTCTATAGGGTCAGTAGGAGATTTCAACAGGAAGGTGGACTCAAAGCATTGTAGGTACCAATAGCACAAAGTCTTGTTTGTAGATATAGATATAGATAGAGGGGTTATCAATATAGAAGTTTATGGATATGAAGGTTAGCTAGTACATACTTAAAGCCAATTTTGCTTCCAGGGTAGATAAACTGAAATGCGTGTTTTCCCAGCTATAACTTGCACTTTTGAAACAGAAAACAATTTTTTGTGTTTTATAATGCCAAGAGTTCCAAGTACTTTTAGAGTTTCATATAATTTTGCATAATTTACCAACACTGTGGATGGAATAATTATCTCCTGAAAACACTACATAATTCACAAGTTTTAAAATTTGAGTTCATAATTTTTCCCTAGCAGAATCACCTACCTAATTACATTCCCAAGATCATTTTTCTCAACACACAGAATTCATAGAATTCAGTTTACATGTTTTGTTTCCCTTGTTATAACAGAAGATAACATTCAACTATACAAAATGGAAAACCAAGACTCCCTTTCTACCAATCCTAAACCCAAAAAACAACTACTGCTATACATTTCTTTCTACTTATTTTTATGTGGGTATATGCCAGTTCTGGGGCTTGAACTGAGGGTCTGGGTGCTGTCCCTGAGTATTTGCTCAAGTTTAGCACTCTACCACTTGAACCATAGCTCCACTTTCTACTTTTTGGTGGTTAATTTGAGATCAGATTCTCAGACTTTAACTATCTGGGCTGTCTTAAACAATGATACTCAGATCTCTGTCTCCCAAGTAGCTAAGATTAAAAGTATGAGCCACTGACACCTGGCTCTTTCTACATATTTTTAAAACTTCAAATGAGTTTATCACTTTTTACTTCAAATATCTTGGAAACACTTTCATATCAGCAATGCATAGTTACCACATTAATCGTGAGGAGCTGCTTAAATATTTTTCTGAATGGTAACAATTTCTTTGATCAGTTTACCAAAGAGAGACAGTTGTAATTCTTCACTTTTTCTCTATTAAATTATCACTATAGTGAATTTCCTGGAACATTCTGTAGCATTTTTGTATGGACATTTGGAGTAATGAATGAGAGTGTTTGCTCTATGGTAGTTACTGTCAAATTCACTTTCACAGGTGCTGTATCATTCATTCTCTTGTTTGTGGTCCAGGAGGAGTCTGCTTGTGGTTATAACCAGCAGCCCTTAAGAACATTTTGCCTCATTGTAATGGATGTGAACAAATTAGCTTTTAAGCCTTGCTGAGGACAAAAAATTAGACAATTATTTTGAGAAGTTAATATTATAAAAATGTATCTATTTTAAATCTTACAGAAATTTCAAGTCCACACCAATATAGAGGGAAAACTAAAAGAGTGACTTGTTATACTTTCGACAAAGATCTAATAACTATGAATTTTGACACATTTCCTTTGTCTCTTCTGAAATATGTTAAGGCAAGTTTAGGTATCTTGTCATTTCATTCTTAACCTTCTCTGGATACATTTCTAAAAAGGGCCATTTTGTTTGGAACCAGTCATACCAATATCATATCTGACAAAACTGATAATATTTCCCTACTCTGATGCAATATACAGCTCATCTCAATGTTTTCCCCTACATGGTTTCTTCATTTGAATCAAGACACAAACTTGACTCCACCTCTCTGACAAATCTCTTACATGTACTTTAACCTAGAAGTCTTCTACTATTTGTGAATAGATATGGTTGCTGAAGAGATGTCAGATGTCCTGTAAAGTGACCCACATGATGAGTGAATCTCAGTGTTTTCTTTTGTGCTACTTAGCTCTAAGGTTTGGATTCTCATTTTTGGAAACTACATTATAAGAGGTGCTGTGACTTCATAGGAGTCACACCAAGGGACATAAGCCTGGTGTCCCACTTGTGGAGCTAAGACTACTGAGCATCCTGCTGAGGTGACAGCTTGATCTCTGCAAAGCAGAGCTGCTTTCTCTCTTCAGAATCCACCTGCAATCTGCTGGTAATACTTCATTTCCCAATGACACTTTTAGTGGTGTTGACACCCTTCTTCAGCTGGAAAGGTCTGGGGAGACTGAGAGTCTGTTGCATCTCCATGGAAGGGCATAGGAAGTTAGAAAGGCTCTTTTGATGCCCATGTAGCTCCTTCCTGCTGAGAAGGCCTCTGATCTGTGGTCCTTGGTCACTTACCATGAGATGATGTATTAGGAGCACCCATGTGGTTTTCCTTGCTCACCAGAATGCCACAAAGTGGGTATCGTTAATCTCACTTTACACATGATGGTGTGATTTAACCAAGGTTTAAATAATCTCTGTCTGATTCCTAATGCCTCTTCCTTCCATTCAAAGTGAACAAAGTGAGGTTTAATTCATTCCTACTGAACTTTCATGCCTATCTCTGTAGGAGATACATCCAGTCTAGACATATTTGTTCACTCCTCCACTGGGTACATCTTCCCTCATAAACAATAATATATTTCAGGTGATGCCTCACAGTGCTGGCTTGTTAGGAAATAAAGGATTGTTTATTTTATTTAATCTAGAAGTCTGAACAGAGTATATTGAATTTTCAGAGTGATGAGATATTATTTCATTAAGAATAACAGATGAGTCAGGTACTCCTGTAATCTGAGCTACCCAGGCTGAGATGTGAGGATGCTAAGTTCAAAGACAGCCCAGGCAGGAAAGTCCATGAGACTCTTATTTCCAATTAACTATCCCTCAAAAAGCTGGAAGTAGAGCGTGGCTCAAGTTGTAGAGCATTAACCTTGAGGAAAAAAACTCAGGGGAAGTGCCAAGGCCTTGAGTTCAATCCTCAGAAATGGCACAAAATAAAAGAATAACAGATGATACTTTAATATTTTAAAACCAATAAAGCAAAACATTAAAGAAGGGAATGATATATAATCCTTCCATGTTAAAAAAGTCATTTTCATCTTTATGTATGTTGATGATTTTCCCCACAAGAATTCCCATTTCCCATAGCTTGTTTAATGAATAACAATTAATAAGTTACTTAAGCTGCTTTTATCTACTTATTTTTTTGGGGGGGGGGTCTGGTCGTGGGGCCTGAACTCTGGGCCTGGGCGCTGTCCCTCAGCTCTTCAGCTCAAGGCTAGCACTCTACCACTTGAGCCACAGTGCCACTTCCAGCTTTTTTCTTTTTCTGCTTATGTGGTACTGAGGAATCGAACCCAGGGCCTCATGCATGCAAGGCAAGCGCTCTACCACTGAGCCACCTTCCCAACCCCCTTTGATCTACTTATAATTGGAGCATTTAATATCTACCTCATTGCTTGGGTGAATTGATAATATCCCATTGGCTTGACATTTTAAACTACTGTGCACTGATAGATATTTAGGTGGACTTTCATTTCTTCAATGAAAGATGATTTCTCAAGGAATATCTTGGTGTAAAAATGGTATTTTCATCATTCTCTTTCATCAAAATTGAAGTTTTATAGTGATTCTATGCCTGATGGACATTCCCAACAAAATTAATTCTTAATAGGCTTTAAGAAAGCTAACAAAGAATAATTTACTGAAAAAAGTAAAGACTGGGAAAATAAAAAAGAATTAAGATATTGCATAGATTTCAATAGCCCTCTATCAAATTCTTGTTTATCCAGAAGCTCAGAAAGAGAGAGACCTTATTTATAAATAAGTTTGTTACATGTGTTTCAGTTAAGGACTGAAATGAGATCATTCTACATGAGGGTGGGCTCTAAATCTAAAGACTAGTGCCTCCTAAGAGGACTGATAGAGACAAGAAAAAGAAGGCTGTGTGGGAAAAAAGAAGACCATGTGACAACTTAGGCAGAGTATAGACTGGTGTAGCTACAAGCCAAGGAGTGAAGGGAGTCAGCACGAGGAAAGGAAGAATTATTTCCATATGGCCTCATAGCAAGCATGAATTTCAACTTTTGCCCCCTGAACTGTGAGGAATTAATATTAACATAGGAAATTATAATACTATCAATGAGGAAACTATTAATATTGCTTCAAGTCATCTAAGTTACCGTCACTTGTTAGAGTAGCCTCAGGGAATCTAACACAGAGGTGAAAAAGAAGCCAGTAAGCTCAGTTAATAACGATGATTGAGGAAAACAATGCTGCTATTAAGTCCTCTACACAGTCATGTGTTTAATCTGTAAAGACAGGTTTTACTAGTGTTAGTAGGGAGCGACCACCAACCACTGGGGTTATCCCAAGGTCATGAGTTACTCATGGGAAACCTCTATGTACGTCCTCTAATTTCCTCTCTGCTTACAAAAGTTTGCCTTCACTGTCAAGGGCAGATTGTACACAATTCTGATCTAGTTGGCTTCATAAGGAGTTCAAAGGAAAGTTGACAGATGTTCTTGTCAACCAGCTAATGTGGGATTTCATACTTGGTACTTAAATTTAAAAAATTGCTGTAGATTCATACCAACACAAACACTTCTAGAACTACTGGAACTAGATTCTGAAATTTCACCTTAGTGGAGTCTTATTTTTGAAATGTGCTATTTGGGATGTTTTATTTGCAGTTATGTATTACCTTTAAAAATACTTACATGGCCAAGTTCAAAAGAAACCTCCTGAACAACTGAGGCTAATAAAACTGTAAAAAGCTATGATCATAATTCTTTTATTTTGTTGGTTGTGGGG